AGAAGTCCAGTTCGTTGATGGTGCTCTTCTTGCTGAAGGGCTGTCTGGTAGTCGATAACTGCTGAGGGGTAGAAACTAAAGTCCTCAACTATAATGGTGGGTTTATCTTTCTCCCTTCAGTTCTCGTAGTTTTTACATTATATATTTGAAAGACCATCGTTTGGGGCATATACATGTGAGATTGCTATAGATCATTCTAATGAATTGACCCTCTCATTACTATGTCTCTTCCCTCTGAAATCAAATTTCCTTTGCTCTTGTTCTGATATTAATATAATCACTCTGCTTTTTAAAAAGCAATGTTTATGTGATATAGCTTTCCCCCCGTTAATTCGCAGTTTACCTATGTCATTATGTTTGAAGTGACCTTCAACGTAGAGTAGGCAACACACAGCCGGGTTACTTTTTAAATTCACTCTACCAGTGTGTCTTCAAACCACTGTATTTAGGCCTTATTAGGGCTTAAGTCTGTCATTGTATTGCTTGTTCCCTCTTTTATGGCTTACTGTGGGAATTCCACTAATGTTTTTGAGTATATCACTGTTTCCTTAGTGGCTGCTCTACCCATCACCAGATAGGGAACTTACCAAACTTTCCAGCCTACTGGTATCCACATTTTACCTCCACCAGCACAGTACAGACGACTTCTACCCTTCTCATTCTTTTTTACCTTCTCTATCCCCAAAGGGTACTTTGCTGGGAGAAGATTCAGTTGATTGTTCTTTTCCTACAATACTCAGGAAAAAAAAAAAATTCTCCAGTCTCTGTGACTTCAGCTGAGAAGTCTGCTGTCATCTAAATTAGTATTCCTCTCTAGGCAATGCACTGTGCTATTTTTGATAGTTTTTCCTCTGTCTTGAGTTTTAAGAAGTTTAAATAAGTATCTTAGTGTGGAATTTTAGAGAGCTTCTTCTATTTAGGGATTGCTTTGCTTTTCATACTTGTGCATTTGTGTCTTTCACCAAATTTAGGAAATTTTCAGCCACTCTTGCTTCAAATGTTTTCCCAGTCCCACACGCTTCCTTGTTCTGGGGTTCTGGTGGCAAGAACTGTTGCCCTCCAGACCTGAGGCTCTGTTCACTTTTTTCTGTCTATTTTTTTCTCTGTAAGCTTTGAGAAATTCTACTCCTCTTTAAGTTCCTGCTTTTCTTCTGTCACTTCCCCTTTATGTTGTGTCATCCAGTGATGAACATAATGTTATTTTGGTTATTGTATTTTTCAGTTCTATAATTTCCTGTTGGTTGTTTTTATAACTTCTATTTCTAGGCTGATTTTCTATCTTTCCATTAGTTTCAAAAGAATTTACATTTTTTAAAAAGATTTATTTATTTATGCATGCAGAACTGGGTACAAGCCAGAGGTGCAGGAGATGAGAGGATTCACCAGAGTGGGCGCAGAACAGGCAGATGGACTGAAATATACTGCTGAGGGGAGCAGCGGACAGGACAGGAGAGGTCTGCTGCGCCATGTGGGTCAGCTCCCTGGCCAGGATTGAACTCGTGCTGCAGTGGCTGCAGATAGCTTCATAGTGCTAACCCACTGCACCACCAGGAGGGCCCTAAAGAACTGACATTTTAAAGCATCTTTATGATTGCTTTAAAATCCTTGCCAGCTCACAGGGGTGATTTGGTGATGGGAAATCCAGGGGAATTACAACTGAGATGAAAAAATGCACAAAGTGATGTAAAAATAAACAATTATATATATTAAAAAATCATTGACAGATAATTCCAAATTTGATTCATCTTGGAATTTGTGACAATGATCTTTTCACCTTCAAACGAGGGCTTTCCTGGTTCCAGACAAGTGATTTTTGAATGTATACTGGGCATTCTGGTTAAGAAACTCCTGATATTTTTAAATCTTTCATTTTAGCAGTAAGTCATCCCATTTAGTTTTTTTTTGCATGTAGGTACCAGCCTACTTTTACAGCCTGCAGTTCCAGGGGGCTTTACTTTCCTAGCCTCATGAAGCCCTCCTGGTGTGTTTTGCTCTCCTGGTACAGTTGGGGCTATCATTCAATACCTGTCGATGCTGCCTGAAGGGTCATAAAGTATGGTCTATGGGCTGTCTGGTGTCAATACTGCTACTTGGCATCGGGGTGAGGGTAGGGGGATAGGATAGCACCTCCCAGTCCTTGTGTCACAGGTGTGAAGACAGAAGATACCAGGTTCCCCTGATGCTGCCTTTATAGAAAAGACTGCTCACCTGCGCACAGTAGTCATGTGACAGGGGCCAGGTTGGCATGTAGGGCTCTGGTGCTTTTGTAGTAGGCAGACTATGGGGTGAGAGCATGGTGCCCACCAGCTCTCTGTAGGGCCACCTATTTTTCATACCTCTGAGTGGAGGTAGGTGGCTTTTCTTGCAGTATTTCTTGCCTGTGCTCAGGGTCTCCAGGTTAAAGCTGGATGGGTCAATTCAAATCAAAAGATAGGAGGGGAGGTTGATAAGCTTCACAACAGTTTTATAAGAGGTATTCAAGGGGTCAGCTGTGGGAAGCAGAGGACACTGGGGGATTCATATCAGGAACTTACACTTACTTGTGACTCTTCAGGCTGTTATATAGTGCATGCACTCAAGAGTGTGGTTAGTGTCAGTTCAAGGTTTTGCAGGTCAACTGGTCACACAAAATGGGTAACTGAACCAGCAGCATTATAGAGTAGCTTAGCCACTCGCCACAACCTGGCTGCATCCAGGGTTGCAGGCCTCTTGACACTTATTCTGGAAATATGTGAGAAAATGAAAATATAGGGAATTACCACACTGCCAATGACCATGGCCCCTAACTAGTCTCTTCTTCCTTCCAGCTCAAAGTCTTTGCCCCGGTCTGTTGAATTCTTTGCAAAGAATGTGAGTGTACTGAGAGGGAGGAGGAGGAGGAAAAAGTGAGTTTGCACCAACTTTTCCTAGAGCAGGAAGTTCCACTATCCTAATCTCAGCACTCATTATTTCTCATCTTGACCATGACCCTGGCCTTCAGAATGGCCTCACCCATTTTCCACCATGACTCACTTTGACCTGCTCTTCAACAATAGCTAAAGTTGTCTTTTAAAAATGCAACACTGATGGTGCCAGCTCTCCCACCTTAAATCCTTCCTGGGTCCCTGTTGTTTAGAGATCCCCCACCCCACTCTGGTCTGGCCCCACCCACCTCCCCCATTCTTCTTGTTCCCTGGACTGCAGCCACAGAGAGTTTGTCTTGTTACCAGGAACAGCATCTGACCCCTCCCTGTATTAGCTTCCTGTGGCTGCCTAAACAAAGAAGCATTGACTGGGCAGATTAAACAACAGAAATTCACTCTCTTACAGTCCTGGCGGCCTGAAGTCCAAGATTAGTGTTAGCAGGATGGTTCCTTTTGAGGCTGTCAGAGCTAGTCTGCTCCACGCCTCTCTCCTTGGTCTGCAGACAGCCATCCTCATATTTCCATTGGTTCTCCCATGTGCCCTATCTCCAAACTTCCCTGATACAAGGATACCACTCACATTGGACAGGAGCCACCCTAATGACCTTTTTAAAAACTGCATTACCTTGGGTCTCCCTGGTGGTGCAAGGGGTTAAAGTAAAGCACTATGAAGCTGTCCATAGCCACTGCAGCACGAGTTAGATCCCCAGCCAAGGAGGTGACCACATGGTGCAGACTGCTGCTGTCATACTCGCTGCTCCAATCAGCAGTGTATTTCAGTCAATCTGCCTGTTCTGCTCTCCACTCTGTCTCTGGTAAGTCCTCTCACCCCCCTGCACTTCTGGCCTGTACCCAGTTCTTGAATGCATAAATAAATCTTTTTTTTTTAATTTTAAAACTACATTATCTCTGTAAAGGTGTTATCTCTAAATAAGGTCACATTTGAAGAAGGCTTTAAAACATGAACTCTAAGGGGGACACAATTCAACCTGTATCACTCCCACTTCAGTCCCCTGCCAATGTATTACTCTCTTTGAGACCCCTTTCACCTTATCAACTGTTACTCATCCCTCTCATTCCAATGCAACTTCCTCAGGAATCTTACCTGTCTAGATCCAGTTCCTCTACCATTCATTCCCTCAAGACTTGTAATTATACACTTAATAACACATTCATTTCATTAACAGTCCTATCCTCTCTCATGAGACTGTGAACCTTATGACAGCAGGGACTAAGCAGTATTTGCTGTGGTCCTATTCCAGGTGGCTTTAGACAGTTAGTGCCCTACTTGAGCCTGCAGGCAGGAAGAATGGATGGGGTGGGGTGGTTGTCATGTACATTCATAAAGCATAACAATCATCTATTGCCAACACTTCACCAAACAAATGTCAACAAAGAAAGAAGAGTCAAATTTGATGTCTAAAAAATCAAGGGGCATGTTGATTTTGAAAACTCACTGGGTGCATTATCAGAGACAGGAAATGTCCAACAGACCAGACTCGGGGACCCCAGTTGCAAGTGGGTTCTAGCCCACTCATGGTCTAGCCTAAGCATCTACAGGCTCTAACTAAATAGTGGCTTTTCCCAATCCCTACCTGGGCAGCCCCGCATCATGGCCAACTGTTCTGAACAAACCTCTGTATGCCAGGACCACAGTGGCGACCTCATGCGCTAGAACCGGCAAGCACCGTCCTCAAATGACGCCGAAGTGCAGGAACGTGCATCTGTCAAGAGGAATCACCCACCCAGGCATCCACTCCCTCTCATATCCCTTCGGCCCCGAGGTCTCCGGGAGACGGGCTTAGGGCTAACCAGCGCTGGACCTTCCCCAGGATGTCTCCATCCTATCAAGAACAGTTCCACCGCTCCCCAGGCGGGGCAGTCCGCCCACCAGATTCCGCCCCGCATCTCCTCCGCCCCACCTTTTTCGCGCACTTCGCCCCGCCCACTTGCCCCGCCCCTTTACGTAGACCCACCGACGCCCCAGTCAAGGATCCAATAAAGATGTATTCCGAGCCGGCCGGAAGGCGAGCCGTAATCCGCGTCGCGGCGTCGTAAAAGTGCCAGTTTCCCCTAGCGACGGGCAACGCGGGGAAGATGGCGGCGCTGGTGGCGGCTGAGGCCGCAGCGTCCCCGACGCCCCCCGGCCCAACCGAAGTGCCTGAGACTGCCGACGCGGCGGAGCTAAGCCGTGTGCTGAGTCGCCTGCTGCCCGGGCTGGAGGCCGACAGCAAGCTGGGCCGGCGGCGCGCGTTAGAAGCGCTGCAGCGCGCATTGGAGTCCTCGGTGTCCGAGGCACCCGAAACCGACCCTGCCGCAGCTGCAGCTGCCTTTCAGGGTCCGTGGGCGCGTCTGCTGTTGCCGCGCCTGCTACGTTGCCTGA